TAGATGACGTTAGAAATGGTATGGTTAGAGACCAAGGTAGTGCAATAGCGTGCACTCGAGGATATCGAAGCTCAAAAAACTTCATTGAAATGGCTGGCATCAGGGAAGCAGGAAGGATAATGGCAACAACACACATATTGACGGCAACGTGCTTCTCTCGCCGCATTACCGCTGACATTTGATGTGCAGCCACAGCATCGCCCAGCTGATTGTTGTGATGGCGAATGGCGAACAGCATTCTGATGTGATTGACAATTGGAATCACAAGAAACGACACGCCACAAATAATTACAGCAACGTACCCAGCTATTGGTGGCAAAATAAAATGTATGGAGATGATAAGCAGGAGCCAAATAGCACTGGCGATAAGGACAGTTCTCAACGCATCTGTGGAAAAAAAATGTTTTCATGTTGGTCACGTTGCAGCTAAATGAAAGTGTTTTTTATGAATATTTTGAGGAGAGTGAAACAGTTCATGTGTAAAGCGGGCGCGTGTATTCTCTCAAATACTTGGGAATGGCAAGATAATCGCATATCCAAAGCTTGCTTTTGGGCCCATGTATAGCTAAAAATCCTCGATAATTCACAATAATGGCAAGTCGCAAGAAAAGAGATAACCCACTGGGCGGTAATATGGAATATGAATAACGAAACACCAAAGGAAAGTTGCCTTCCAGAGCAAACTTGAGGCAAAGGAGACTGAAATAAATTTTAATGCGGAAAGCTGAAGCTTACGAACTGAGCATCCTCTCATTTTGACCGCATCCTTCCCCTCCACNAAGATAATCGCATATCGGAAGCTTGCTTTTGGGCCCATGTATAGCTAAAAATCCTCGATATAATTCACAACAATGGCAAGTCGCAAGAAAAGAGATAACCCACTGGACGGTAATATGGAATACGAATAACGAAACAGCAAAGGAAAGATGCCTTCCGGAGCAAACTTGAGGCAAAGGAGACTGAAATAAATTTTAATGCGGAAAGCTGAAGCTTACGAACTGAGCATCCTCTCATTTTGACCGCATCCTTCCCCTCCATCCTTTTTTTTTTGTTTTTTTGTTTGCTTTTCTTTCTTGCTTGCTTTCGCTCCAGTGTTATATCCTGCCCACCGGATGGAAAATAACCTTTCATTCTTATTGGAACGCTTACAACGTAGTCTGCGATTGCTGTGTGATATAACTCAAGACCTTTCCTGTGGTTTCAACAGATGTAACAAATAAACTTCAAAATTTATAATCACGACAGATGGAATTAGAATTGGTAAGGTGTGGTAGTTCTGTGATTGTAGCAGTGTTTTCAGATCTCCCTTCTTATTTCTGATGATCTCCAGTTTGCCAGTAATCATTGCCGTTTACAAAAGAAAAAAGGTTCTCTGTTATATACAGTGAGTTTCCAGTTCTCGACATATATCCATGCCACGTCTTCGATCGTCTTGTAATTTTGAGTATTTTGGGTACAAAAAATGCGCGCAGAAAAAGTCCGCAAACAAACATGAAATCGAGTGCATATATTTTCTTTTGTTAACTCGTGAAATAATATTTCATTTTTAATGTATATTTCTTGGCATCTTTGCTTTGCTGCCGCGGTCAATCTACTTAGATTGCTAGCCATGATCTTGACGACCTCGCGACCTGAACGAATCTATCTGACTGAACTTGGCAATTTGTAAAGCATTCTTTTAGATGCCTCCCTACTGTTAATGTATTGGCCAACTGATTTTAGCTGGAAAACCTATCATATTGGAGAAAACTTAACTGAACATCGTTATCATAAGTAAAGATAAATCTTACAATTATGGGCACAACATGCACATCTAGAAACTCACCTCGTTTTGTCGCATTTGTGCGATATATCAAAGGTTTTGACAAAGCATGATGGCGATCAAAACTGATGATCATAAAAATGGTAAATGACAGCCCGGTTGTAAACAGATTCAAAGTGTAATATACGTCAAATATCAAGACTTGGTGTGAACACGACTGCTGAGCTCTTTGAAGGAAAAACCGCCACACGACAAACATGGGCTGAGCAGTGATTCCTGTGAGGCAATCTGCGGAGGCCAGGCTGCACAGTAGAATGTTACTTGGCCTCTGTAACGAGGGGTTCTTAGCGACAGCGACAATAATGGCCAGATTACTAAGGAATGCAAAAGTGGCGGAGGGTCCATTGACAACAGCAAGAATAGCGTCGTTGATGTAGCCGACCGTGTCGTTCCTTGCGATACCAATCCAACCAGGCAACCCACAAATTGAGCCATTTTCATTTGCAGTCATTTTGTCAGTGTAGGAATTGGAGATGATTTATTTACCTGGAAATTTGAACTTTTTATCAAATTAGAGCTCCAGAGTTGTCATCTATCACGCATAGACATCAAGAGCGAACTATCTTATTACTTTGAAAAGCGTTTATCTATTAGTCGAATCTGTTATATCTACAGAACCTCGTGCTTCATGTCTCAGTGTTAAAATCGGCTATTACTGACTTCTTTTGAATAGTACTTTTGATAACCTCTGACACGAAATACGACTTGCATAGTAGTTGGTTTAAATAGCTGTTTAAAATCGTTTTTATCTCAAAACCTTGATCAAGAAAACAACTATAACGCTAATGATTGGATAAGGTTTGTGTCGTACGCCTCTTACCAATTGCAAGTGTTGGGGCTATACTCCTTTCAAAATAAGAAGGATTAAACGCTATATCACAACACTTTGTCACTAAAAGAAATTACCGAGGTTCTACATAGAAAACTTTCTTTGTGTATTCTGTAACTTAAAACACGTCATGCTCAAAGACATTAAAAACGCTAAACATACCAAAGATAAGGACACAGGGAGATCCTGAGTGAATAAAGATATGTGCTCAATCCTTACAAAAACAACATAGGCGTGCATTCTGATTCGATTTTCCTTTTTATTTATTTTAATTTAAACCATCGAAATCTTCATTTCTTAAGTGTATTTGCCGGCCGCCGCTCTCTCCGATTGAAGAACCAGCCGGCTGGTTTATCAGAACATTTGCATTCAATGCATTTTTCTCTGAAATGAATAATTAAACTGTCTGAGCTTTAGTCATGCAAAGTACCGCAATAACACAGCAGTAAATCACTGATCAACGGTAGAAATGAGTTAATTCACAGAGGCATTTACTATCTTTATTAGAACTCCTCCACCTTCTAAGAGTCAGTGAAAGCGCTTGTAGGATTTAAGGAACCTCTCAACGTTATCGGTTTTTTTAGTACACACTTTTATTTACGTTTCTTCGCACGACATTAATAACATCTTCATTATCGCAACATTTTAAGTAGAAAATATGTGCGTATTGAAGAAATCAAAGAATTCCCGACATACGGAAGCTCTTTCATCTATTGTTACACGTACTTTCCAGATTTCTGCAAATCTAACAATAGCATGGAGCTTTTACAGAGCAGTTCTCCGGAACACATGCCAAGAACCATCAGCCAAATGGAGATTTTAATGGAAATGTATTCGTTTCAATTTGTTGCTGCCGCAGTGAGTGAGCCTGAAGCCGAGGCAGCAGATCTAATCGCTAAAAAATTACATTATAGCGGAGCTCCGGCGGCCCGAAGGGCCGCCAAGCGGAGCCCCATACTCATATGGGAAAGAAAA